GCACTTTGCAAGTGTACTTTCTAAGCAGTATTTACTGTTTATGATGCATGAAAAGGAATACAATCTACTCTTTTCTTAACTATTGCTGCTTTAAAAAAAAACAGCCAAACCCATGAGGCTGTGACCTTCTCATCATCTCACCTAATTTTCTTAGAATTTACAGTAAGATGACCTAAGATATTAATTGCAATTATAGCAGGAAAGTTTTAAAAAAAAAGAGTGGCTTGAGGAATATAACCGATAACAGATTTGCTGAAAGACACATCTATCTAAGTTTGTCTTAAACTGCAGGTTGTGTTTCAGTTTTCTCTTTTGTTTTAAGGGTTGGTTTTGGTGTTTTTTTTTTCATTCAGGGACATTTATGTACCATAAATAATTGAAATCTTTATAAAAGTTTTATTTCAAAGACAGGCTTTATAAACCTAGTGGGAAAACAAAATCAATTTTACTTTGTCTTGACATATTACATATTATTCAGTGAGAAATAAACTCAATCCTTATTTTGAAGACTAAAATCGTAACTTTAATATTTAAGGAAATAACAGTCAGAGGTGGAGTGATCTCTGGGGCACAAGTCTTTCTAGTTACTAGACATTTGTCTCTGTTGCAAACTGAAAATTAGAATCTGTTGAAATGTTTACTATAATCTATTAAATCATGTCAGTAAGAATAATAGAAGAGTCAAAACAGCTGACTAAGCTTAAAACTATAAGCGAATATCATTCCCTGAAAAGAAATGATATTGGAATTTACACTGACACGACATCAATCGGCTGACGGTAAAAGCAAAACAACTTGCAATTGGAGTACTACAGATGACCTTAACATGCAGAGCATTGCTAAATTGTTCTGTTTCATAATGAACATTTGTAAAAGCACGTTAATGTGCTAAAATGATAATGATTCATTTTAATCCCAGGTGGATATGCTGATAATGACACTTTATTTTGCAGAATGGTGTAACTAGTGTAACCCAATATTCGGAGAACAGATTTAATCTGTGTATAATTACTTAGCGGAGTTTGCTAGGCATGGGTTTAACTTATTTTGGCCACATATAATTATACTGCAAAATGAGTTGAGAACCCTGACAGTTTTGGAGGATC